CTGCTGCTGCTGCTGCTGCTGCTGCTGCTGCTGCTGCTGCTGCTGCTGCTGCTGCTGCTGCTGCTGCTGCTGCTGCTGCTGCTGCTGCTGCTGCTGCTGCTGCTGCTGCTGCTGCTGCTGCTGCTGCTGCTGCTGCTGCTGCTGCTGCTGCTGCTGCTGCTGCTGCTGCTGCTGCTGCTGCTGCTGCTGCTGCTGCTGCTGCTGCTGCTGCTGCTGCTGCTGCTGCTGCTGCTGCTGCTGCTGCTGCTGCTGCTGCTGCTGCTGCTGCTGCTGCTGCTGCTGCTGCTGCTGCTGCTGCTGCTGCTGCTGCTGCTGCTGCTGCTGCTGCTGCTGCTGCTGCTGCTGCTGCTGCTGCTGCTGCTGCTGCTGCTGCTGCTGCTGCTGCTGCTGCTGCTGCTGCTGCTGCTGCTGCTGCTGCTGCTGCTGCTGCTGCTGCTGCTGCTGCTGCTGCTGCTGCTGCTGCTGCTGCTGCTGCTGCTGCTGCTGCTGCTGCTGCTGCTGCTGCTGCTGCTGCTGCTGCTGCTGCTGCTGCTGCTGCTGCTGCTGCTGCTGCTGCTGCTGCTGCTGCTGCTGCTGCTGCTGCTGCTGCTGCTGCTGCTGCTGCTGCTGCTGCTGCTGCTGCTGCTGCTGCTGCTGCTGCTGCTGCTGCTGCTGCTGCTGCTGCTGCTGCTGCTGCTGCTGCTGCTGCTGCTGCTGCTGCTGCTGCTGCTGCTGCTGCTGCTGCTGCTGCTGCTGCTGCTGCTGCTGCTGCTGCTGCTGCTGCTGCTGCTGCTGCTGCCGCTGCCGCTGCCGCTGCCGCTGCCGCTGCCGCTGCCGCTGCCGCTGCCGCTGCCGCTGCCGCTGCCGCTGCCGCTGCCGCTGCCGCTGCCGCTGCCGCTGCCGCTGCCGCTGCCGCTGCCGCTGCCGCTGCCGCTGCCGCTGCCGCTGCCGCTGCCGCTGCCGCTGCCGCTGCCGCTGCCGCTGCCGCTGCCGCTGCCGCTGCCGCTGCCGCTGCCGCTGCCGCTGCCGCTGCCGCTGCCGCTGCCGCTGCCGCTGCCGCTGCCGCTGCCGCTGCCGCTGCCGCTGCCGCTGCCGCTGCCGCTGCCGCTGCCGCTGCCGCTGCCGCTGCCGCTGCCGCTGCCGCTGCCGCTGCCGCTGCCGCTGCCGCTGCCGCTGCCGCTGCCGCTGCCGCTGCCGCTGCCGCTGCCGCTGCCGCTGCCGCTGCCGCTACCGCTACCGCTACCGCTACCGCTACCGCTACCACTACCACTACCACTACCACTACCACTACCACTACCACTACCACTACCACTACCACTACCACTACCACTACCACTACCACTACCACTACCACTACCACTACCACTACCACTACCACTACCACTACCACTACCACTACCACTACCACTACCACTACCACTACCACTACCACTACCACTACCACTACCACTACCACTACTACTACTACTACTACTACTACTACTACACTCTTGGCGACACCATAGAGGACAAGTGTGCAGAGAAGGACTTTCGCTTGAGACAGAGCACGCACTTTCGGGACAAGCTCTGGTCATTCTCTCGTACCGTGAAGTGTTGCGAAGCCACAACGGAGCGCATCGATAAAAATGCAAGGCTAGCCCGGTAGCTTGGCAAGCTTCGTGCAGAAGCTGGCCAGCAAGAGCATGAAATTACACAAGCCGCATCACAAGCCCAGCTTGGCGCTCGGACCAGTGGAGCGGCGACATGTGATGGATCCAGTGTCCAGCAGGCATTGGTTGTGGGTGATTGTGTGCCAGACAGCACCAGGCGGATTCTGGAGCTTGGATCGAGCTTTGTTCCTTCGACCGGCAAGTTTTCGGATCGTGAGCGTTCCGAGGTGATTATGTCTGTCGAACGGATGGCCTACACCTTGCGCTGGCAGCAAGCCCAGCCTCAAGAGGTGGAGGTTCCAGACAACGAGACTGTTTCTGACACTGTGGGCGACGGAAAACTCTGGAAGCTCAAGGAGCGTGGGGATAAAAGACGCCGCAAATGTGTGACGATGAAGAAAGGAAGTCAAGGACTTGCTTCAATTTGTTCTCAGTAACAATTTCTTCAGGTTCAGGGACAAATTTACCACCAGCTAGAGGGAGTTGCAATGGGCAATAATCTAGCACCACCATTCGCAATATTGTTCAAGCACTCTCTGGAAACGAGCCTTCTTGCCGATTTACCGGTTCTGCCTGTGCTGTACAAACGGTACGCTGATGATGTGATCATTCTCTGGACCCACGGTGAGAAACGCCTCTTGGAGCTTATACAGCACTTCAAAGCAGGACACGACCAACTTAAGTTCACCTACGAGCTCAGCAGTAGCAAAGGCTGGATTGTGGACGTGACGATTGCCATACAACAGTTGGGCCAGATGACGTACAAGCTCTTCCAAAATCCATGCAATAGTGGATTGCTGATAGACTACGCATCTGTTTTGCCCCATAACATCAAACTTGCAGTGTCCAAGTCTCAATTCTTAAGAGCACAACGTCTGTCTTCCAATGAAACCATGTGTGAAGAAAGTGAACAGAAAATTCGAGACCAACTTCAACTCAACTAGTATCCAGAGAGCCTCATCATTAATGCCCGAGAAGCAGCAAGGAAACCCAAGCGTCGCCGCCGACGTAATCCATGTTGTGCGTTTCTGAAGCTGTCATATAAGTCGGACAGGGTCCATCACAGCGTCAGCAAAGTTTACCAGAAGCACAAGTTACCAGTCCGGGTGGTTTACGAGCATGCGGGTAGCCTCAAATGTCAGCTCTGTCACTCAGCACAAAGTCTGCCCAGCTGCATTTAGGAGCCAGATATCAGAAAGACAAAGAGAAGAGGACGCCCAATGGGACCATGTCTGACTTGTATGTCGGGTGGAGTGAAAATATGTTTGAGGAGGAATGCGATATACCGTCTGCAATGCAAGTTGTGCAGGGTAAAGTACATCGGAGAGACGGGTCACACACTGGAGACGAGACTGGAGGAACACAATGTTGAAGCTCGTAGGCGCACTGTGGAGAAGCCATGGGGTGACCACATGTGAGCTAAGCAAGCAGGGATCAACCTGAGTGTCAGGGACAGGGACAGCAGTGTCTGTGATTGCAAGGTCCAGTGACAGGGCAAGCCGCAAATTGTGGGAGGCAGTGGAGATCAGAAACTAAAGCCCAAAGATGAACAGCAGTCTGCTTTGATTAGGGCTTCAACTCGACGTGACATTGACTCCACGTATGGGGAAACCGTGTCAGGAGCCAGCAAGTCCCACTCCAGGTGCAGTGCCTGCACCAGCTGGTCAGCATTCTCGCAGCGATGTGGAATTATTCTCTTCTTGTCAAATCTTGAGAAGAGCCCACACATTCTCGATTGGATTCATGTCGTGTACAACTTGACCTCCCGTACCCGTATGACTCCCGTGCATGCGGAACACAACCTGCTTCGTGTACACCAGCTCTTGCGTGAGACAGTGTGCTCGCTGGTCTACCGGTACCGGTGCCTACATTCCACCATGGAGCAGCTGCTGATCAGCGCATTATTTGGAGATTTCGTCACTCCGACTAGGGCTGGCCAAACGCTCGGCTCCCAACAACATCTGCTGCAGCTTCCATCCAGAACTCATCCCGTGTCTCTTTCTGCTGCACGCGCTTGGAACAGTCTTCCACCTGATGCGAGAAACATCACGTCCTCCCTCCAGTTCAAGGGTGTGTTGCACGCGTATTGTCTTACTGTAGCGTGACAGCAACCCCCCTCCCCTGTCTTGAGTACTAGTATGTAGTAATCCTGATGCTCTGATACATACCGAGGCTAGCTGTATGCTCAGTCTCCGGCTAGCTGTATGCTCAGTCTAGACATTCTTGATCTTATCTTCTTCTTTTTTCCTTTCTCTTTTCCTTAAAATGTTTTATTGCCAGAAGTGGTCTTCATATAAGGAGGCAGACATGCCTGTTTGTTGTTCGACTTTAAATAAATCCAACCAACCAACCAACCAATGTCCGGCGAACAGGGAGGTTGAAACAGGATGTTGAGTACTCTGCTATCGAGAAGATCCTGCTGTGCTTGAGTGAAGTGAATGAAAGAAATTTTAACTGTTTTTAGCATGTAACACGTGCACTCCGAACTTTTACGCGAGGTGCGTACCGTTGAGTTCATACACACAAATCGCCAGTGATGTAATGGGAGCTGGCCTCGCGCCAATTCGCGGCGCCGGCTTTGCACTTCGGGCCGGATTTCACCGAGCGCAACTGTAGGTGACAGTATTGTCTGGAAAACACTGACATGGTCACGTTCCTGTATTGCTCGCGAGAAACCTGTTCAGACATTTCTCAAGTTATCTGGTGACATCTGCGCTGTGCTAACTAATTACTTATTACCAACACACAGCATAGAAGTCAGTGAAAGCTTGTGAAAGCTTGTGATCTTTCACTAGTTTTAGACATGTCATATTCCTGGCACTGAGGTAACATGTGTGGTCATCGAAATATTAACACCTAAGAACACCAAATTGATGTATATAACTTCTCCTTTGCATCCTGATGAGGGCAATTTGCTAAAAACGTTGAAAATTATTCTGAGAAATGAAAATGAGTTCTGAATTTGCAGTGCCCAGCGAATGAGCATGTGTGCTCACCAATTCTCTTTGAAAAAATGAAGCGGCAATAAAAAGAACTTTCTCCGGTACACACCTGGAGGTTAAACAGCTCTTCTGTTCGGCTTTGTTGTTGTTATCAAATCTCATGAAAACAGAAATGGCTAGCAGCTTTTACAGGCAACAGACAACATACGCTAACGTATAGGGATACGCTAACGTACGAGGATACGCTACAAGCAAGGACGGGATACTACACAATGTACATCTTATCCAAGTCATGGGGTGCATATATCGGAAAAGAGATTTTTGCGTAGTTCTGTTATTTTGATATGCGGTAAATGTGTCAAGCACGGTATAAGAAATTCTTCCAGGAAGTGATATTATATCCTATCAAAAATTTACTTTGTTCTCCCAGGGATTTGTTCTGGAATAAACTTGTTCGCATACCAGCCGGGCTATTCGACGCGACAACCGAATTGATACATCTGTAAGTCATGTTGTGCATGTATCGTAAAAAAGCGTTTTTGTTGGTGTATTTCTGTTCTTTTAAGTTGTGGCATCTAGGCATATGCGGATAATGCCGGCAGAAAATTGGCAGAATTCGGTACTTTTCTTGTAAATTTCATGCATGTTTGGTATGTGGATAAAGAAATGGAGCAAAATTCGAGAAATTGCCCGCCATAAGGTTTGTATCGTTCTGCCAATTTCACTGCTTTTCGAGCAGAATCTGCCACCTTTTCGATGATTGTCCGCCAGTGCCCAGTGGCATCTCTTTGGTTGATCTGAGGTACCCTTCCCCACCCTTTATGACCGATATCTGATGCCGCTCACGAGGTGGTCGCAACCAAAGTAAGCGAAAATGTGGTTCGTCATCCACCCTGTACCGAAACCCGTGCAGAACCAAGAGCAGCCTTGTATCAGATACAGCTGAATGTAGACAGCTACGAATGACCATCCGTCTGCTAAGGATGATCATGGCCACTGCAGGTAGCCATGGAGTTTTGACATCATGGCGAAGCTTCGACACGCTAGCTGCTATTGCTATTCATTTTCCACTCGTCTTGCTCCTGGGTGCCATTGTCCTGATCTGTCAAGGTCTGAACTGAAATATAGCTACAACGAGATGTGAGTGCAGTGCTTTTCTTCCCATTGTGCCTGGTGGACGAAAAATTAAAAAAAGGTCCGCTCTTATTTGTTTGCAGCATTGACAGCTTTGCTCTGTGACGACTGTCGGCTCTCCAAAATATGAATCATGCTTTCCTACGATTCCGAAATGCCATGTCAGTGTTTCAGGTTTACAAAACCAGAGAAAGATAGCGAAATCACAGCAGCGAAAAGTACAAGAGGACAATTCCGGTATATGGATTGATACTGACAATGACCCTCCAGACATCTGTTTCTGTGGTGTTGGTGATGTGAGTGCAGAGTTTGGATCGGCCAAGAGCGCAATGTGGCGGTATGGTGTATTGCTCTTGATATTTCTTACAAATATCACTGTAGCCGATATATTCTTATATCCGGTCACTCAATAGCCGATACAGACTGTAGTTGTACACAACTCAATACAGAAGAAAACATTTCGCATACAGATACCTCTGTATCGACCTGACGTCACTATCACATTATAGTCAGGCGTAAGAAAAAAACGTTTTCTATGGCCTCAACTTCTTTGTTGTCCGGTTGGCCATTGTAGCCGTTGACTAGAGCGCAACATAAATCCCTAATCTGGTGACCCTTAACGCTGCCTACTTCGGATTTTTCCCGATGCATGCCATCCCAGAGCTCTCAACGCAGTTTCCTGCTCGTCTCAAAACTTGAGCCTCACCATCTCGAAACTGGATCCGCCTCGGAGCTAGTGTGGCCCCTGCTGACCTCCCGGTCCACCTGGATAACCCGCTATCCTGTCACAGCACATCGTTCAGTCGTCTTCGTCTTTTATATTCATCCTGGCCTCAAGCTGGAAATTGGCCACCTCCAACCCAAGTATCAGTTTGCAGGCATACGCGCGGCACAGGACTTGGAGGTACGCACGCCTCCATCAGTCCTCGCCTCACACGGCACGCCTCGCCCCAGTGTTTCCTGTACTCAGTAACTGTTACGTTGCAGCCGCCTCTTACATGATAACACTCCTCTGTCATGCATACATTTCCTCTTTTCTTTCTTTCCAACTCTGACACCCGCCTCTGTCATGCATCTCTCTCTTTTCCACTTTCTGCTTTCTGAGTTTTGTTTTGGTCTTTGTTGCCACGTTATCAACAAACTTCATACACGCAGCGCTCTCTTGTACATATTTTATTGTATGTTTGCCTTTCCGCCTTGTACATGCCGCGCTTCCTTTCTCTTCTCTCTTTTTCTTGTTTATCTTGCTTCGCGCCTCCCGGCCTCACCAATGGCGGGGGAGTACTGTAGCGAACTGACGTCACTATCACATTATAAGCATGTGCAAGATCATAAAACATTCTCTTAGGCGTCACCTTCTTTTTTGTCCAGTTGGCCTTTGTACCCGTCGTCTAGGGACCGACGTAAAACCCCTGAACCTCTACCGTCTACCTCCATCCATAGAGTGAATCTACCCTACCAGGAAGCTAAAAACGAACGCAGCCTGGAAGGCGGACTGGGGGCTGGGGACTCTATTGGTGCTTCAATGGCTATCTGGGATGCGTAGGAACCCCCCCCCCCCCCCAGCACGTACTGCAGCTGGCTCCGATGATTCTTCCTTTCACGTTGGAATTAGACGTTCTTTCCTGGAGAGCCCGAATCTCCTCTCGAAAGTCCGCAATGGCGGCTTCCTTTTTCTGTTCTTTGGAGGCTGTTAGACTTTTCAGGTCCGCAATAACTTCCACAAGAAGACGCACTGTCTCCCTCAGCTGCTTCATGATCGTAAGCATCCTGATGCTGGCGGCTTGAGGGTCCACCGGTAACCCAGTCTGTAATGCTACTCGATCATTTGGCTGGATTTTCTTCCCGGAGTGCTCCGACGAGCTGAACTCGGCTGAGGCTGGCCAAGTTCACATTGTTGGCCCTTGCTAGGCTTTCCGGCCCTAGCTATCCAGAATACCAAAATCTATGGTAGCCATACTCTCCCTTGGAGAGCAGGGAATTGGACGTAAAAAACCTACAACTGCGCAGGGGAACGACGAAAACGAGTTCATGCCCCAGGGGCTGCTGTGGCGGTCGACGTCGGCGGGTCGTGAGATGAGTTTGCACGCCTTTATGGCGCTCCGACAAATGCAATACAAAGACTCCCACTAGCTACACATTACACTGTTTCTGGCTCATTATTTCTGAATTTGATAGTCATTGTGGTTGATTTTCCGTGCCGAATTTCTGACGCTGCATGCATGTCCCATGTGCGTCAACAGTATTTCACACTTTCCTTTTCCCGCGTTATCACCTCAAATATATCAGTTTTGTATGTGACAAACCATTATCTATTAGCAATTTGGTATATATTTTAATCATTCCACGTCTACCTTCAATGAAGGAGTTATCAATATCGTCTAGGGAAGTGTCCTCGCAATGGTGATGGTTGTGTGCAGGAGGGTCTAGTCAGCCACGTTGACACCGCAGTGTAATGGTGGAGGTGACTCAACATTTTCTTCAACGGCCAAGAGCTCTGTCCCACCCTGTAAAATAACTCCATTGAAGAATCTAACCAAAAGAAAACATAGAACAGAGAGCTGGAGCCGGGGGAGGCACCCACCAGGCCCCGTACCGGATGCGCAGTCAAGAAGGATGACGCAGTCGCGCCCCCACGCTTGACTGGCAAAGAAAATGAACCTGAGCCTTTGAAGTTGGAAGGTAGTTGGCTTGCGCCTTGGAGAAGTGTTCGAGCTGGATGTCTGGTTGCTGAATGTCTCAGTACTCCTTGTCAGGTTTGTGCCATTTTTCGCACTCGCTGATTGTATATGATCTAGTTACATTGTTGGCCATTAGCAAGCCGTGAAACGTCAAAGCGCACGGGAACGAGTTCTTTGGAACACACGTGAAAAAACGCGTAATTTAGGATTAGATTCTCACGTTTACAACCTGCCTACACGAGTCGGCTGCTTTCCAGTTTCTAACAGTATTCTGATGTTTTATACTGGCGACAGTGTGTTGCGAAACTTTTCCTTGAGAACAATTCTCAGCCTAACTGACTTTTACCCGAATGCGACTGAAAGAAACCCCATGACTGCCACATCATGGATGGTTGCAGTAAAGGGTTCTGTTCACGAGGTCCATGCCCAAACATTCTCAGAATGACTTTACAATGGAGCAAGCCAGTTGAGAATATTTCAAAAATGTACATTTCGGAGCAGTAGACAAAAATGAGCGAGCAAGCATGAACAAGTCTAATTGCTGGCACTGTGGTTACCCTCGATCCTGTTCTGTATCATGCTAGTAATGGCTATGATAAATACCAATGGTCCTACTGTGTTAGGTCTGGTCCTAAGGGCCAAAACACAGCATTACTAAGGTTCGTACAGTTATTGTAATAATCAAGGAATAGAAAGACGAGGAAAAGGGAGCTCGCATTCTCGGACCTAGTCTAGCACAGCAAGCATTCAAAACCAGCCACGAGCCCAGGCCCGCATGTGCGCCTTATCACATTACATACACAGCATTCGTCCCCCCCCAAGATTTTGGGGGGGGGGGTAAAATTATAAGCAAAGAGGCAGTCTAATTTGGCGCCGACAGATATAGAGGTAGCTGTTGAAAATACAACGGCCGGATAATGCAAAAGTAAAAAGGTCAAAAACAAACAAACAGACATTTCCAACACGAGAGAGCTTGGAAGCTCAGGGCCCTGCGCTATGCTTTTTTGCCTTGATGACCTAGGGATGTTATAATTTTTTCATTTCTCCTATTTTTTTAGATATGACCTGGATTCGACCCCGCACTATCGCCCTGCTTGCATCACCCGATACACTTCGCATACGTACTAATTCTTCCAAGTTGCTTCAAGTTATGATCTTGCATTTGAAAGCCGTATTTGAATATCGTGGCCAGCTGTTTGCGGTGAGCCGTCTTTCATGATACCGTACGGTACGGAACAGATACGATCGAGGGTAATACGAGATCGTTTACCACATTGATGACCTAAAAAAAAGCATAGGGATGACAATTTTCAATTCTCCTAATTTGTTTAGGTATAACTTGGGATTCGAACCCGTGCTATTGCCCTACATGCATTCCCCAATACACTTAGCATTCCTACTCATTCTTCCAAGTTGCTTCATGTTATGATCTTGCATTTGAAAGCCCTATTTGAATATTGTGGCCAGCTGTTTGTGGCCAACTGTGTTCGATGGTACGGTACGGTATGGTACGGGACAGATACGGGATAGCGCCAGGTGTGACACAAACAAAAAAAACAAATAAATACCAAATTGAAGCTGTGTGGACCCTGGCTAGTGCCAGACGTTACTGAAGTAACGTCTTCTGCATAGCTACGGGAATAAATACCAAATTAATGCTGTGTGGACCCTGGCTAGTGCCAGACGTTACTGAAGTAACATCTTCTGCATAGCTACGGCAATAAATACCAAATTAAAGCTGTGTGGACCCTGGCTAGTGCCAGACGTTACTGAAGTAACATCTTCTGCATAGCTACGGCAATAAATACCAAATTAATGCTGTGTGGACCCTGGCTAGTGCCAGACGTTACTGAAGTAACATCTTCTGCATAGCTACGGCAATAAATACCAAATTAAAGCTGTGTGGACCCTGGCTAGTGCCAGACGTTACTGAAGTAACATCTTCTGCATAGCTACGGCAATAAATACCAAATTAAAGCTGTGTGGACCCTGGCTAGTGCCAGACGTTACTGAAGTAACATCTTCTGCATAGCTACGGGAATTATTCTACTTATAACAGTTACTGCGCCTTCCAGAATAGTCCATGAGAGCTGAGCTAAATATCGAGGTAGGAATGACAGATAAAGTTAGCCAATATTGCAAAGTGTTGGGGAATTCGAACAGATCGGAAGAGAAACCATGCGAATGTTTCAATGAATTAAATGAAAAACAATCTCATGTGAAGACTGTTCGTCATGACCTACATGTAGAATATTCATCTGGCCCAGAAATGTCCACTTCCTACACTCAGGCCGCATCAGATTAAAATAACGGGACAAGCAATACATACCCAAAGGTAATAGTACGCAGTTTGAACTCCGACGCAAGGGTGCCGGCGCAACAACACTGGGAGCCGTCTCGAGTCCAACGGCGTCTGCTGCTGGGGCTAGCGTATCATCCGGCCTGACAGTGCTACTGTTGCTGCTAGCGTCCGGAAGTGGTAGAGGAGAATCTAGTACTGTCGGCGGGTCACTGTTCGGTGTAGGCAGCTGTGCGACCACCGCCTGGTCCGCAGAAGAAGAAACGGGTACTTGGCCAAACTACACCGCCCGCGGTCGTAGTTCTTCCCTATGGCGCTTCCTGACGACATCATCCAGCTGCACTCCGAAACTGTGAGGGCTGTGGACATGCACTACAGTAGCTGGTACCCAAGTTGCTCTACAACCAAAGTTAAGGGCAAACACAGCGTCACCGGTGTTACACTTTGGCGTAGTCAAGCTCTCCTGGTATACCTTGACCTGCCGATGACTCTCAGACTGCCACAATGCATTGAGCCGGATTCTCGGTTGCCGGCCCATTAACAGCTCCGCCGTCGTCTTCCCACTGGAGGTCGGCGTTGTTCGATGCACTAAGAGAAACCGGTCGAGCCTGACATTGAGTGGTTCCACAGTATTCGACATTTCTTTCATCTTCTGCTTGAAGACGCCAATGTAGCGCTCCGCGAGGCCACTAGTTGCTGGATGACCTGGCGCCGTCGTTGTGTGTAGAATGCCATTGCCATCCAGGAACGCTTGGAATTTCGCACTCGTGAACTGACTGCCGTTATCTGTAACCAAGTGCTAACGCAAACCAAACACAGAAAACAGATGGCGTAAAGCAGAAATCGTGGTTGCACTGGTTGCATGAGCCATGGGTATTACATCCAAGTACTTAGAGTAAGCATCCACCACCACCAAGAACATTTTTCCCAGAAATGGCCCGGCAAAATCAATGTGTATCCGTTTCCATGGACCCATAGGCCATGAACAAACACCGGGTTTTGCCGGTGGGCATTTGGCATTCTCTTGGCATTGCATACACCCATCAACTTTAGATTCTATATCCTGGTCAAAATTGGGACACCACAAGTAGCGCTGGGCCACTTGCTTCATTTTCACAATGCCAAAATGATCTGCATGCAGATCTCGTAGCAAGAGCATTCGAAGTGAGTTAGGAATCACCACCCGGTTGTCCCATAACAAGATATCATTCTCCACAGACAATTCCATTCTCTTGCCAGCATATGCCACGAGGTCTTCCTCAATTTCAGCAGGCCAATCATTAACCGCATAGCGGATTACTTTAGCCAATACCGAATCCGATTCTGCTCTCACCACAGCCGCTTTGATTATTGAGTCGTTCTCGATAAGCCTGCACCGTGACAGTCTCCTCCTCGCTCGGTGACACAGATTGCATTGGTTGTCGCAAGAGAAAATCCGCATGGACGTTTTCTTTCCCCGCGAGAAACTGCATTTCGTAATCATACGTCACCAGTTGCAATGCCCATTTATTCATTTGATTAGAGGCAAGAGTGGGGACATCCTCGTGATTTCCCAGTAACTTCAAGAGTGGCCGATGATCAGTGACCAATATGAACTCCCTACCGAGTAGGTACTGGCGAAATTTGGTAACTCTGAACACCACAGCCAACGCTTCTCTTTCAATTTGAGGATAGCGTGACTCTGCTGGGTTCAGCTTATGCGACATGAATGCGGACAGTCGTAATTTGCCATTCTTCTGCTTCTGCAGTACTACTGCGCCAAGGCCCACTCCCGAAGCATCCACTTGCAACACTGTTGGCCTTAGTAAATCATAGTGTGCCAGTAGCGCTTCTGAACACATAACATCTTTCAATTAGCCAAAAGCTTGCTCGTGAGTGGTCTCCCAGTGCCATTTCCAGCCTTTTTCAAGAGGTCGTGCAAAGGAGCTGCAATTTCTGCGAAATGAGGCACAAACTTACGCACGAAATTTGAGGAACCGATGAAAGATTGCAATTCGGCAACATTCTGTGGTGGTTTGACCATTTTCAGTGGCTGTAATCTGGCTGTCGAAGGGAAGACGCCCTGCCCACTAATCGTGTGACCCAAGTACAGTCTGTACCGGCTATAGAGTGACCGTATATTTGAATATATCGGCTACAGTGATATTGGTACGAAATATCAAAAGCAAAACGTATTTTATCCAGTAAAAATATCACTATAACCAATATTTGAAACTCGGATGTTGAGCCATAAATACATGTAGAAAGGAAAAAGACATTATGGATACGAGCTAAGAGTAACTCTCCATCACTGTAACATGATACTTTATACAGTCAGAAAGTGCAATAACTAGGCACAATATCGACACTCGACTTCCTGACACCTAGCTTCAACACATCTCCGTAGCGCCAAGTTGGGTGGTGTGCTGCTTTGCTGCTTCGAATTGTAGTTAGACCGCTTTGTCAGATATCGTACTGGTCTCGTCATCCGGTCCAGTAACAATCGACATTCTTTGTTCCGTTGGGACTGTAGCTTTTGCTCGTTTTCGTTGCGCTTGCCTTCCCCTCTTTGGTCTTTTCCATAACCTTGAACCTTCCAAGTTGGAAGGCTGTCGGTTAGCGCTACGGAGATGCGTTGAAGCTAGGTGTCAGGACGTCGAATGTCTCAGTACTCTGTCAGTTTTGTGCCTAGTTATTGCACTTTCTGACTGTATAAAGTATCATGTTACAGTGATGGAGAGTTACTTTTAACTCGTATCCATAATGTCTTTTTCTTTTCTACATAACCAATATTATCGGATGTAATGATATATCCTATATACATCCTACCAAAATTCTACTTTGTTCTCCCAGAGATTTGGGCTCACATGCTATTTTGGACTTACCCTTTGTATGAATCTACACAGGTGGGTGGGACGCAGCCCTCACTGTAATCCACACCATCCTCCCTACAAACTAGCACGCAAAATAGAGTAATAAGACATTCTTCCAGGATTATACATCCTATAAAAATTCTACTTTGTTCTTCCAGGGATTTGGGCTATAATCAACTTGTTCACCTACCTGACGGGCTGTTCAAAGCCACAACCAAATTACAAAAACTGTAAGTCATGTTGTGAATGTACCGTAAAAAGGCGTTTTTGTCGTAGTTCTTTTGAGATGTGGCAAATGGGATTTCACGATATGGCATCTCGGTGATTGATCTCATGTACCCTTTATGACCCGAAGCTGACGCCGCTCGTGGAAGACTTTTCCAGGTAGAACTCCGTATTGGAAGCAAAGAGCTGAGATAGTGTCTTTACAAGTTCCATTGCGCATTCCTCCAAGAAAGAAACTAGCTCCATGACTTATCGTTTAGTATCGTTTAGTAGACATGTCGACTATATAGTAGACATGTCGACTATATCTGTAGCAAAGTCAGTAAAGCTGTTGGCTATCTCGTGTCTCATTGCTCCCACCTACCGCTTGAATGCATTTGCCTTTTTTATCATTGCTATATTCTCCCCATTTTTCTCTATTGCTCAACCACCTGGTCATCCCTACCAAGTACATTGTTAATGAGTACCCTGGAAGTCCACAATAAGAGGATACTGAAAGTCCTTTTCCGCAAACCTTCCCTATCTCTAGTCAAGCGGATCGAAAACTGTGTATTGTTGTTCATTCTATTCGTCTTGACAAAGCCCCGCCCCATTTGCGCAAATATAACTGGTTTCTTCCCACTCGTCCTACGCACAATCCCTGCATTTTACCTAAAGCCCGAACATCAGCTTATACCAGATCTCCGTTTTTCGCTGCCTATTCTCTCTGGCTGGCCCTGCCTCTATCAGTAAAATATTTGTACGCTAAATGATTTCAAGGCCAATATGAAGCTCGTGTTCTAATAGAGAGGTTCTGCTATACCTGAAACTTAGAGAAATCACGTAGAGAGCAGGTGTCTGGGTTAGAGTCTTCGGCTTCGCACGTTTTGGGTCCAGATTTCTACGCGGAGATGAGGTTCTCTACGTTGTGGCACACGCAAAGAAAATGCGTACGGATTGGCTGGGTATCGATCAACTGATGCAGAAAACTGCCAAATATGGAAGGGGAAATTCCCAGTACTCATTCGTAGAGCAGAACCTCCCTAATAACTGCAAATTCTTTATCGAGGTTAGTTTCTCTTTGCCTCCAGTAATGTGTAATATTTATTATTTTTTTCCTTTTTTTGTTTACTGCCATGGCTGGCTACCAGGGAGTCGTCAAATACCGGGAGTGGAAACGCCGTTAATCTTGATTATCCATGCTCGCCTCGCGCAAAATTTTTGCAGTGCCTTGAGTACCTCAGCGTCGTCAAATGCAATTTAGAGTAGCCTTGAGTATTTTTTGGGAGAAAGCGTCCATCAGAACGTGTATACAGAGATATTTGCAGTGGTCTGCTCGTTTACTAGTAGTAGGACACCTAATTTATCGGTATGCGTTATCGCAGTGTTGCGATGTATGACTGGAGGCCCGATTCACGCGCGGATAGTGACGTGACTTTTGATGTAATTTATCGAGGAAAATACCTCAGCCTCAGTAATCAAAGCCACTTGGTTCGACCCACGAAAAAAACTTCTCGTAACCATTGTTCTTTCCATATAGGTGCTACCTGTGAATTTTCTCGGTGTAAGATGATATGCCCCTGACTTTTTGAGGGACCCTTTGTTTCTAAAACATTATTGTTTTTTAATGACGACCACATTATTATAACGTCAAGGAATTTCTCTTATTTTCTTCTTCAGTGTAAGAGAACATCACCGCTTTCAGTATGTCTCATGTCAAGAGGAAGCATGACAACGTATATGCACAACCAACACTGAGAATCCAATTACAGATTTGGCCGATTGTGGCGAGTATCACAGAATTGACAATGCACACCGAATTAAACTGTTCTAAATCCCTCTCTCTCTTTCTGTCTCGCTTCTATTTGCCAACTTTTGGTGTCAGCAGTTACGCATGCGTACATGCATGCACGCACCTGCGTACATGTACGGGTGCGCACCCACTCATTGGCATGCACAAACTGCACATGCACACACACTGGAATGCATGCATGCATGCACACACACACACACACCTGGTCCTGGTAAACACTGCCATTACAGTCACCTGTCCCCTTGTGGGGCCGACAACATGGAAGCGACGGCAGAAAGTCGGCAGTCTGCCAAGAGGTCAGGGACCATATTCAATCGGCACGACGAGAGAGCCATCTTTGGCAGCACACACACACACATACTGAAATGCCCACACTGTGCATGCACACACACGGTGGATGCTCATGTGGCTCAGATTCAAATATCTTTTCAAAGTTTGGTAGATTCGGAGACATGTTGGCCAGAATTTCATGGCCGAAAGTCGCCAACACCGCCTTGAGGCTAGTTAACTCAGGCTTTCTGCTAGCTTCCAGTTCTCTTCTCACCGCAACACCACACCAACCACAATGGTATCTTTTAGGTGTCTTTGCAGTGCAGTTGACTATGGCGGTGGGCTGGGGTGCTGCTGCTGTTGCTGCTGCGGATGATGCTGGCATGATGGACGGCTTTCTTGCCACTACTGTACCGCAAATTAAACTTGAAAACACAGCTGATGTGGTCTCCAGGTCTGGACAAAACGCACACGGAAAACAGCGCAGTAATTCTATATTAAAATTGTCACAAGTATTCATCCAGGTAGAGAATGCCATGTGTATCCTGATTCCTGACCATCACATAGTTTCTTAAATCTACCATTGCATTTCTTTTTACGAGTTTCACATACAATTTTATGCACGATCATTGGGCAAGTAAAAGAGAAGCTTCCCTGGGTCTGTACTTGACTGCAGGTTGATAAATCGAATGCTCCGTACATGCAGCATGCATGTGTAACAAACCAAAACAAAGCTATTCAGTGATAGAAGTATTCACTCGATAAAGCTTGGTTTTACTCACCTCTCGCCCAAGTTCCTAAAACATCAGCCGTAAAATGGCTACCGATATCTCCCTGTCCAGCATGACCATGCACTGCCGACGAATCCACGACGAAGAGTGATAATACTACAAAAGGGAAGCGGAAATCTGACGAGGTTTATGTATGGAGACGTCTAAACTGCTCCGCTTGCAGGAAGAACCAAAATAAATTTTGACATTTTGAAAATCCCGCGGAATTGGTGAATGTCGCACAAAAAAGATTATTTTAAAAAAATCGGCGTGCTCCAGCGCGAGGCGAGCATGGATCACGCTCGCGCATCTCGTTTCCACTCCCGGTATTTGACGACTCCTTGCTGGCTACTGCCTCCTCCCTCCATATTGGCCTATATTCTCTGGCCACGGGAAGGTGAAATAAATAAAAATAAAATGAAATTGCATCGCAGCTCAAAGAAACTATTTGATCACAAAACGAATTGGGACCCATGCCGCTCGTCAACATTTACAACACTTTCGTTTTGACAAGTTCACTCTGACTCCATTATCGATACGAGTAAGAACTCGTTTGTTGTAAACGAGACGTGCATGACTGTATCGACGTGAGTGAGTTGTCATTCTTCCTGCTTTCATGCGGAATATTTCTTCCAGTTCACAGTGAGTTTTTCCAGGCAGCTCTCGAGTGCTCATATGGTAAGATGGCAAACTCCACGGGCGATCGCCAGGATTGCTAATCTTTTTGAAACGTACTGTAGGTCCATCAAATTCATTCAATATCGAATATCCAATGTTAATTGTATGAACCACATAGCTGGCTGTACTTCTTGAAGAAAAGAAGAAAATCTATCTGGCCGCTTTTAGAAAACGCCCGGCGGAGTACAGATATTTGCGTTCGGAACCGAATGATTCTAGTCTATACATGTTGCCACTCACCGACTTACAATATTTAATGCTCGCTCCATAGCAAACCAGTCGGGCAAACTCATTCAAATCGGTGAGGACGACGGAAAGCGCCCCCTCAAGCTCCAACACCGGGCACGGCTTCAGACGCCAGCACGCCAAACACTGCAGCGTGGTCACCTCCACCGAGTCTGACAAGAAATTTGAACTCACAACCCTTGTCACTCCAAACAACTACCATTAATTTTCATTCCCTAAACGACTCCAATTTCACTAGCAGCAAAGCTCTGCAGAAGCGCAAAATATATTGAACAAATCTCGATTTGTACGATCGAAGCACGATATTTATGCTTCCTAAAACTGGCCATGCGCCGACCACAGCGTGACATAGGCGAACCCAGCAAGCTCAAGCTACTAGTGTTTGTCTGGAGGTGCCTTCATGGGAAATCTAGTGCCACATTGTCTGTACTTTTCGTCAGATCTGCTGACAGGAGAACCCGTCTTCAGAGGTCTAGTGGTCTGCTCAGTGGGTGCGTTGGATTACACACTTGAATCGATTCATGAATTCATTCGTGAATCGATTCAAGTGCGCAATTTCTTCCAAGTAATCGAACGGCGTGAACATGCTAAAATCGCAATAAGAGTTTGGTTACGTGGTCATGACGTTGAACAAAACTTAAAAAGTCAAAAATGTCCGTGCAATCTAGGACTTACGGCCGTTTTCAGGAAAAGGGCCATAAGTCATAGATTTCACGAAAAAACTGCTATTTGATACTGACTTTCTTCTCATCGCTTTTCTTTCACATGTACTTGTACATGATGTAGTCACTTTCGCATGTAGAATATTCCATGTTTAATTTTACGCTAAGTGTCGTCTGAAAAATGGACAATGCCGAGGCATTCCCGATCCCTTGGATCTGGAATGTGTTTAATGATGACGAGACAGAAGAAATGCTGTTTCCTGCTTGGTGCGATATTGCTCTGTTTATGATGTTCCTTGTTTGTTACCGGAGCGCAGCAGTGCCAAGAGTAACACATTTTGCTGAAGCAACTGTGCCCAGTTATTCTATGAACAATTTTTGCCAGCATTTTCTTCTCCCTCCTTTATCTTGCCTTTTCCCCTATTTTGTTGCTGGAAGAGGTTTGATGGAGTTGTGTGCATGTGCATGTAGCGGACCAGTTTAGTACCGTCATGACTTTTTTTGGCTTCTTTTCTTTTCTTTTTCACATCACCCCATGTGGATCCGTGGAATCGATTCCGAATCGTTTCCGGGGCTCTTGACATGGAAATCAAACGACTTGAATGCATGCGAATGAATTCATGAATCGATCCAAGTGTGTAATCGAACGCACTCAGCCGGGCCATCCTCGACTGGCTCTGGCGTTTCTCGGCCGTAAGTCGCAGGATCTGCACTCTGGAACCTGCTGCCGGATGATGTTGGGACCATAGCAAGACAGAACAAGTTTAGCATAAGTTGCCTACCATATTGTTGGTAAGATTAGCCCGCCCTTAGCTCTCCTCAACCACATTGTATCCCCTGATACTCGCTTGTCAGATACTTTCGTAATTTTCTAATTCCTGTCCTCTCTTTTCTAAATGCGGCTGATCCATTCGCCTTTTATAACATTGGGTCTAGTTCCCGCTTATTGTGTGAATTAAAATAAACCAACCAACCAAGCAAAATAGCAGATCGAATGATTTGATCGAGTTGATCGACGATCAAGATCAGAATCAAAATCTGGACGATGAAGGCTGATCAGCAACACGATGTTTCCGTACATTTACCCGGGTTGCCGGAGTTCGCAGCATGCAGCAAGGTGTGGGTTTTCCTCAGGTTCGGTGAGGAGCGAGCGTACGTCTGCTTGTTGTAATTTTCTTGTCGAGCAACTATTTGTCTCCAAAAGGTCGACACTCTAATCAGTGACAATTCAGGGCTGGTAGACCACGCAGCATTTGGTGTCAGCGCGACTCCATCGACCTGGCAAGGAGGATATTTTGAAAACCAGCTTGTAATGAAAATTCGATTTCTAGGACTCGGATGACTACGCTCAAAACCCCAATAATGACTATTGTGTTGAGCTCATCACGTTATCTGGTTGCAGGAATATAGATCAGGTGGGAATAGAGACATTATGTCGATAGGAATCAACTTTATTCTCTTTGTCGAGCTATGTCGCTCCAGCAACAGATGTCATCCATGCGTGAAACACAAAATCACTGTTGGCATCCTAAAAAAATGCATGAAACACACGACCAACTTACCAGATACACGAAATAGCAATGGATGCATTTCCGTACCCAACAAGTCGATCTCTCCGGAGTGCACCTCAAAAGCGAGGGCTCGAACCTGTGGCGACTACGTCATACTGGCCAACCCTCCCGGTTTTCCCGGGAAAATCCCGGGAAATCAACACTACTCTCGGGGTCAAGGGGATTTGAAGGAAAATCCCGGAAATCACAGTTTCGTCTGATACAGGATTTTCCTGAAAACTCCATGGATTTCCCGTTTTTTTTCAAAAATATGTACGGTTCGCACTCGCACTTCGAACTGTAAACTGCACTTTCAAGACCTGACCACAAGATCTGCACTGACAGGCGCTATAGGCGGGCGCCGACGCGCCGACTGATCGAACTGCAATGCAGGGTTGAACTGTGCCGTAAGCAGATCTGCAGAGTTAAACTTTTTTCGGCGGGAAAAGCCCTTTTCGCTTGTTTTTGTGCCATCCAGGGATTCTGCATGTATTGTCAACGGATTGAGATTTTGGTGGTTGGTCTGTATGCTACGTGGTCGAAATTTCAAAGGAGATTCCTGGAAAACAGGTTGCAGCTAGATCCCAAATCATGAAGTGCAGGGCATCGTGCCTCTTCATGGTTTCACTCAAGCAGCATTCCATCATACATTATCATGTTGCTGATCAACCTGATCGTCTAGATTTTGATTCTGATCTTGATTGTCGATCAAATCGAACAAATCCGTCGATCTGCTATGTCACGCGGTGGTCGGCACACGGCCAGTTTCAGGATGCAAAAATATCGTGCTTCAATCGCACAAATCGAGATTAGTTCAATATGTTTGCACTTCTGCAGAGCTTTGCTGCTAGTGAAATTCGAGTTGTTCAGGGAAGGAAATGGTTGTTGTTTGGAGTGACAAGGGTGGCCAGTTCAAATTTCTTGTCAGACTTGGTAGAGGCGACCACGCTGCAGTGTTTGGCGTGCTGGTGTTTGGAGCAGTGCCTGGTGTTGGAGCTTAAAGAGGCTCTTTCCGTCGTCGGGTATGAAATTGGCAATGTTGCAATGTGGTGAAGTGAAAATATTTGAATTTGTTTATTTCCAGAAAACCTGGAACACTTTTTTACGAGACATGTCCTGGGTGGTAATGGAGTATAGTCCTCTATCCTGCATTGCATGGTTCAGAACAATAGACGCTGTAAATGGCTCCCGCTATGGCCCTTGAAATTTGGATATTTTAGCGATGCAATTTAGTGATATTTGGAGATGATGGCCATTGCTTTCCTGGATGTAGCCATGGCTCTATGTGGTGGTGATGTGAAGACTGCTCAGGTGAGGTAATGTTGGCAGGGTGGTGGTTTGTTCTTAGCTCCATTGCGTACGCTGTACCAGCACTCGTTTTTGGACCCAATGTTCAGTCGTATTTTGAGCCCATTTTAGCCAAGGTGTCCGTAAGTTATGCAACGAGCCCTTTTGCATGATTGTTGTAGACCCCAAAGGGAACCTACTCGCAAAATTTGAGTGAAATCAGAGAGATAGCCCTGCCCAGCGTTTCTGGTTTTCTCAGATATGCTCTCTTAAAAATGCTATAAGATGAAAACCTTAAATTTCCCTGTCAAAAGATTATTTTGACACAATTTCCAACATTCCTTCATTCCTTGTTCAGGTTTTTGCATTTTAATAATCTCCGCTATCTTCCCAGTGGAGTGCCTCAAGACACACCTGACTTAGAGGCTCTGTAAGTCTTGCCTGACTAACAAAACTACACACATTCCCAGTATTTCATGATTCAGCCGTTTGCTCTTCCTCTAAGGATCTCTGCAGACCTGGGATAGTGGGAAGGCTGGGGATGCTGTTTAGGGTAGCCATCGGAAGTGGCCCTACTATTGTGACTATGGAGTATGCAAGATAAGTAACAAAGGATGCGACTGTCGATGATGAGGAGTATGAGTGTGATTTGCTTAGTTTCTGATGCAGTTTTATCATAAGCAGATCAAGACTTTGCAGTGTGTTGCAAATTCCTGTAGGAGGACGAATAGCTTCTTTCGGCTCATACCCACACATTATTTCATACATCTACTTCGAAGTAAGTTTATACATCTCTTATGCATCTAAGTTGGAAATCGATAGGCACATCAGCAAGAGATGGAACCTCTGCCTAGAAGAAACCCTCCAGACAAGACACCGCTACTGCATTGTAGGAGTGAGCTTGTATGTAAATGACTCGCCAACCAATTCCTACTCAAGAACCCCAGTGCAGCCATGACATATTCGCAGGTGTGCAAACACCCCTAAATTGCAATTTTGTCTCTCACCCTCTACCTTTGCTCTCCTCCCTCTTCCCTTAGCCTCGTGCTGCCCGTTGTACGAGGAGCCAAACCACCCAACCCATTGCAGTGAACACATTGCGTACTTCTGATGGTGTCAATTCTTTTTCGAACCGTGCTGCGTTGTTCTTTAATGCGCTACCCTCTGAACTCCGCAGTTCTTCACACACTGCATTACGTGCAGAAATTCAACAACTTTTTGAAGGACCCAATGCAGGTCAACCGCTTCTTTTTCTTTGCTGCAGGTCACACTCAATGTATGTTCTTCATTATCTTTACCTTTACTGTGTCTTCACATTGGCTATAGCCTCATCGTTTAACTTTTCTTCTTCCTTTTGCCTCATCGGCGCTCTTTAAATTTGTTTGTCAACACTGTTGAGTTGTTCGATGTTAAATAAATACTATACACCACACCACCACATTTCGCTCTTGGCCGATCCAAACTCTGCGCCGTAAAGCGACAGTGAAATTACGAGACAAACGGGAAAGTTCCTCAACATCCATGTGTGAGTGCGAATTTACTGGAATAGCGTAAGTGCGGTGACACTCACACACACTTGCACATGCATGTCGATTGTCACACTGCACTTGCTGAATTTCCTATCATTTCTCACCTCACCTATAATTTATTACCTGTGCAAATTGTTCCAAGGTTTGTGCTATTTTTCTTACTATGCTTGTATCCTCGCTGTTCCACTGCAAGTGTATAAATCCTATTGTAGTTTCATCATTCTCTTTAGTCACGAATTCCATTGATAATTGTGACAAGAAAACGTTCTGGAATACATGATTCGTCCCCATGGTTGTGATATGAGTGCGCATTTAGTTATATTCATTGCATTATTAAGATTATTGTCTCCACGTCGCCTTCTTATTATTCTATTATTATTATTATTATTAACTGGTTTGAGGGAAAGAGACAAACGGGAAAAGTCTGAAGAAAAAATTGACTGTCACCACCAGGACTCGAACCAGGGACCCTCGCTTGTAGCCAGCGATGCTCTGACCACTGAGCTATGGTGTAGTCGTCATCCCAGCAGAGACCGTTCAAAGTTTTCTTCAGACTTCGAAATATTATTATTATTATTATTTTGGAAAGGATTGGGAGAACTTCAAATTCAAAGTATCAGTCGGGGAAGTGAACTGCCTGAAAAGAGAAAAAAACGCCAGACCCACCAGGACTCGAACCTGGGAAAAAAACCTGTCAGCGCCTTCTAGGTTCAGCCTGGTCAGTGGTTAGAGCATTGCTCATGACAAGCAGGGTCCCAGGTTCGAGTCCTGGTGGGTCTGGCGTTTTTTTCTCTTTTCAGGCAGTTCACTTCCCCGACTGATACTTTGAATTTGAAGTTCTCCCATTCCTTTTCAAATTAAAATCACTTTCTTTCACCTCTGATAGTTTCCAGAAACTGACCGTGGTTGGTCCCCTGGGGGAGGGAAAAAGACCCAAGTGCCATCAGTATGTGTGGCACGTGTTGTGAGCTGCCTTTGCAGTGAAAAACCTGTCAGCGCCTTTTTAGGTTCAGCCTGGTCCCATAGCTCAGTGGTTAGAGCATTGCTCATGACAAGCAGGGTCCCAGGTTCGAGTCCTGGTGGGTCTGGCGTTTTTTTCTCTTTTCAGGCAGTTCACTTCCCCGACTGATACTTTGAATTTGAAGTTCTCCCAATCCTTTCCAAATTAAGATCACTTTCTTTCACCTCTGGTAGTTTCCAGAAACTGACCGTGGTTGGTCCCCTGGGGGAGGGAAAAAGACCCAAGTGCCATCAGTATGTGTTGCACGTGTTGTGAGCTGCCTTTGGAGTGAAAAACCTGTCAGCGCCTTCTAGGTTCAGCCTGGTCCCATAGGTCAGTGGTTAGAGCATTGCTCATGACAAGCAGGGTCCCAGGTTCGAGTCCTGGTGGGTCTGGCGTTTTTTTCTCTTTTCAGGCAGTTCACTTCCCCGACTGATACTTTGAATTATTATTATTATTATTAAGTAGTGGTTGCGACTTCGGCGATGACTTGTAAGAAAGGGTTTGCTCCCCACACCGGAGCTCGCGCTATTCCGCCGACTTTACTTGACACTTGACTGACTCACGACTGCCATCCAGAGCACACGAGAAGTCCATCGAACCTTCGACTCGGCAAACCTGCAAGAAAGCACCACTCCCTGCTCAATACACAGTGTTTCGAGGAATTCACCCCTCATCAGTTGAGCTTGAGTAGGCTGAGGAAGATTATGCCTGAAGAGCACCACTTATATAGTGCTCTCCAGGCACAAACATCACCAGGGATACAAACTTACAGAGACGCTCCGTTTCCAGCGCGACAAACACCTCGTGAACACCAGATAGCAGCGTGAGTCAGTGTCGCTCCTGGACGGTGAGACTGGTGCTTTCTTGCAGGTTTGCCGAGTCGAAGGTTCGATGGACTTCTCGTGTGCTCTGGATGGCAGTCGTGAGTCAGTCAAGTGTCAAGTAAAGTCGGCGGAATAGCGCGAGCTCCGGTGTGGGGAGCAAACCCTTTATTATTATTATTATTATTAAATTTATGTTAGGTTGGGCACTCTTACCTTAACACGAACCCTTGCCACTCGCCCTGTGCAGCGCTCACTGCTCTTGGAGCATTTCGAGCACTTTTGGCGGGGTTTGCAGCTTTTTATCAAAATGCTTTGCTTCACAGAAACGTATTTCATTGCGAAGAGCTGAGCTTCGGTCCTCTGAGCTGTGCTGAGGAGCTCTAACAGAGTGAAACAGTTGCTGTCCACAGATTTGAGTATTATTATTATATATTATTATTCGAAGAGAACTTGGTGAGCACACATGCTCATTCCCTGGGCACTGCAAACTCACAACTCAATTCATTTGACAGAATCATTTTCAATGTTTCGGCAAATTGCGATCATCAGGATGCAATATGAAGTGGAAGTCTGCCAAGGAGCAGTTATATACACTAATTTGGTGTTCTTAGGTGTTGATAATATTTCTATGACTGCACATGTTACCTCAGTGCTAGATATTATGACATGTCTAAAACTAGTGAAAGATCTCAAGTTTTCACTGACTCATATGCTGGGTTTTGGTAATAAGTTAGCACAGCGCAGATGTCACCAGATAACTTGAGAAATGTCTGAACAAATTCTCGCAAGCAATACACGAATGTGACCATGTCAGTGTTTTCCAGAAAATACTGACACCTAGGTAGCCAGTGTGGTGTGACTGTTTTAGAGTAATGACCATCCAGCACTGGTGTTGATCTCTCGGCCTTCGTTTCTGATCTCTACTGCCTCTCGCAATTTGCGGCTTGCCCTGACACTGGCTCTTGCAACCACAGATACTGGCGAGAAGACGCTGTCCGCGACACCTAGGTTGATCCTCGCATGCTTAGCTCGCATGTGGTCACCCCATGGCTTATCCACAGTGCGCCTACAAGCTTCACCGTTGTGTTCCTCCAGTCTCGTCTCCAGTGTGCGACTGATGCACAACTTGCATTGCAGCCGGTATATCAAATTCTTCTTCAAACATATTTTCACTCCACCCGACTTACAAGTCGGTCCCATTGGGCGTCCTCTTCTCTTTGTCTTTCTGATGTTGGGCTCTTAATGCAGCTGGGCGGACTTTGTGCTCAGTGACAGAGCTGACGTTTGAGGCTACCCGCATGCTCGTAAACCACCCGGACTGGTAGCTTGTGCTTCCGGATAGCTTTCGGATGATGCACCCTGCCCGACTTATACGGCAGCTTCAGAAACGCACAACACAGATTACCTCGGCGGCGACGCTTGGGTCTCCTTGCTGCTTCTCGGGCATTGATGATGAGGCTCTCTGGATAGTGGTTGAGTTGAAGTTGGTTTTGAATTTTCTGTTCACTTTCTTTACACATGGTGTCATTGGAAGACAGATGTTGTGCTCTTAAGAATTGAGACTTGGCAATGGCAAGTTTGATGTGATGGGGCACAGCAGATGCGTAGTCTATCAGCAATCCACTATTGCATGGCTTTTGAAAGAGCTTGTAAGTCATCTGGCCCGACTGTTGTATGGCAATTGTCACTTCCATGTAATCAATCCAGCCTTTGCTACTGCTGAGCTCGTAGGTGAACTTGGGTCGGTCGTGTCCTGCATTCAAGTGCTGTATTAGCTCCAAGAGGCGTGTCTCACCCTGGGTCCAGAGAAAGATCACATCATCAATGTACCGTTTGTACAGCACGGGCAGAACCGGTGAATCAGCTAGAAGGCGTGTTTCCAGAGAGTGCATGAACAATATTGCGAATGGTAGTGCTAGATTATTGCCCATTGCAACTCCCTCTAACTGGTGGTAAATTTCACCTAAGAACACCAAATTTGTGTATATAACTGCTCCTTGGCAGACTTCCACTTCAGATTGCATCCTGATGATGGCAATTTGCCAAAACGTTGAAAATGATTCTGTAAAATGAATTGAGTTGTGAATCTGCAGTGCCCAGGGAATGAGCATGTGTGCTCACCAATTCTCTTCGAGTTATGCATAGCCAACAATCGCATGTCATCACGTACATTGAAAATCAACGTAATTTTGCGAATCGACCTTTTTTTCATGATCACTTTTCAACGAGGACGAAGCAAAGTCGGCCGAACGAAGCCTAGAGGAAGAAAATCACCCTCTCCACTTCACCATCACGATACTGACATAGATACGAGATGAAACAACTAAAAAATCCACAGAAAAACTGTACGGCCATCAGACTTTGGTCTGACTTTGGTCTGAGAATTTCTATCACGATCAAAAATGTATGAGGAGCACTCAAAAATAAGCCACAGACGTACCTTTATCGCTCTCTACTCCTTTTTCAAGGCACAAAAGTCGACTCTCCACTTTTAAACCAAGAACCAGACATACCAGTGGTCCTTTTCAGCTGCTCCACAAGTGCAGGAAATGTTCACCAAGGGGCACAGAGCAGCATCCATTCCAGAAAAAGAGCTAAAATACGAGTGAGACTGAATACCTGAGTACATGAGTACATGTATGAGTACATGCAGAAAATAGTCAATTTCAGCGTTTCTGCTCCAAACAGCAACTAGCTTCGACTAGAAACAAAGATTACACCAAAGGATCAAACAACAACCATTTTCTGCAGTTTTTTTGCAGATGGCTTCCTTGTGCTTGGCCCAGCACGCCAAAAATCACACCTCGGAGGAGTACAAAAATTACAACTATCAGATGTCCTCGATTGATGACCATGAAGCTGCAGGATGCCTCACCGCTACTTCGTTTATATTATTATTCGACATCATATGCCTCCACTGATGAGCTCAGGAGGAGCGAAACAGCTGTCTGGAAGGCCATTGTCAATATCAATCTATAATTATACCGGAATTGTCCTCGCTGAAGTGATGGTTATGTGAGTGCAGAGTTTGGATTGGCCAAGAGCGCAATATGGTGGTGTGGTGTATTGGATTCCATAATGGCCGGGTCGTCGCTACTTCTTCTCAACTTAAACGAGAGAGCTTGGAAGCTCAGGGCCCTACGCTATGCTTTTATGCTTTTTTGCCTAGCTCATCGTGCATGTTATTAGAACTGATGGTTTTTCCGTTGATTGGCTTCATCAATGTATAGCAAAAACGTTTCAATCAGTTTGAATATGAGTTAAGCAAAAGTATTTGCAGAATTTTTTTACGGATCGTTATTTTCTCTCACTTCATCCACTTTTGATCTTCTCCTTCTTTTACTTTTGATCTCCTTATAATCAGATTTTCTGGCCTTTTTGTAGTAATAGATTGACCTGTTGAGCAAATGAGGTAAAATTATATTCCATACAATACGATACCCAACCCAAACATTCCATGCATCATGTAATACAACAGTGTAACACACAAGTAAAAAAACGATCAGAATGTACCAATCAGAATATGCAACGTCACAACGAGACCATCAGTGGCAATACGTGAGCAAACTCTACCTTGATGACAATATCAAAGGTGATAACGATAATAGGAGGACAACTGTGCCAGTTGTAGTGGATGCTGTTACACTGTTCATGACTATTAAGTTGTTTCTTGCAACTTCTAAATATATTTTGTGTCCCATACATGCACAGTTGGCTTTTAAATGGAGTTTCATTCAACCTTCGCTTGTGCGCTCTCAAGACGCCTAAGGACTTTTCAAATGGCACCATCTTAGCGCAAAAAGACTCACATCAATTAATGAATTATATTGCTTCAAGTAAGTAGCCCCTTTATACCACATCACACATTCCAGGGCTTACCGTTGAACTTTACACATTCCCTTCGTGCACACTTATTGGTCTCCTTTCAGCAAACAGAATCTTCTGGAAACAGCATGTTCTCGTTTGAAAGTACGAACAAGTAATTATTCATCCTGAAGCTATGCAAAAGAAAATACTTAGTGTCTGTTGTTAGCCAGGGTTCATGCAGATATCGGTGTGATGGCGTGTGTTTCGGGCTTTGGGCATGCCAACCAGAACAACAACAACCCATCCTCTGCCGACCAAACTGAGGCAGCGGAGAGTTCCAGCTTGCAGGTAATCGCTCCCAGTCCCCAATGTCCGCCATCCCTCAGCCTAGAGGCACTGGGGTGGGCAATGACGACGAGGCCTGCATTGTTGCCTCTGACGATGCGGATTGGATGCCCTGCGCTCATCGCCGTCGCCGAAACAGCCATGGTCATGTAAAAATGGAGGAGGAAACCAAGGCCGATGAGACATGGCCCTCCCCTCAGAGGAAACACCCGAAATACTGAGTCCAGATAAGTTTCAACCGCGATAACCAAAAACCATACAACTTCCAAAGCAAATACCAATGTGAGTGAATTTTAACTTTCAGAGTACCAATGTGCGTTGCTTATTCAGCAAATTGGACCAGTTAGGCCACATTTTGTTTTTTCTATGTTTGTCGTCATCGCCTGCATAGGTTTTCAGAAATTTCGGAAGAAAAAAAGGTTCATACTACGTACATGTGTACATGTATGTACGCTGCACATGCTGCAGCAGCTAGATCAGAAGATGCATCAATCAATAATTGTAAACGCTTGCACCACAGCAGCAAAGGAGCGCTCCTCGTCCGTTCTCTGCGATGAAGGCTGTCATGACGAAGCTTTCAGTCGTTCACTGCCTGAGCCTCGTGGACCCCAGGAATACCGTAAGTCGGACGAGTTCCGCGGCAACTGGCGTCTGTGGAACGATGTCGTAGGCAGAAAACACAAGCAATAGACCCTGGCAAGGAAAAAATGAGCAGCATAGAGACAAGAGTTTGATAAGCAGAGACAAGAGTTTGATAAGCGGACACAAGAACGTTGAAGTAACAAAACCTAAAATTGATGACGAGTGGGAAACGTTTGTTGATGCGATAGCAGATAAATGAATGTTCTCTTCGCCATCTCGTAATCAAACTTTATGCTCTCACTGTTGCAGTTTGCCTGATCTTCGTGGGCTGATGTGATAATGTAGTGCAATCATGTATGGGACTACATGTACAGTCGACCTACCCTTATAACGGTATTTGCGTCATACCGAACAACAACTAGCTCACCAGGAGTAAGAAGCAAGTTTTGAAGCTCTGAGTGTCGTGACCACGTCCCCACCCTAGAAGCATATATGCACTGCTATTCTAACTAGTATTACCTATCTAGCATGGATGACTCCCCAGCGCCAGGCAGCCCAAAGCCTGAGCCCCCAGAGCCACTGTGGAGGTCGATGTCGCCGGCCGAATTGAAGGCCAATACCGTAATATTTGTCGACGGCCTCGCAGGCCAGAAGATAGTAGAAATTGCGGACACCCTCATCGACCAGGGTTATGCTGACGTCGCCTCCGTCCAAATTACCGGATCAGCCTGTAAGGTAACGTTCTGCAGCCAATCTACAACGAAGTCCATTGCAGAACACGGTTTCTTTCTTGGCGAAACACATATTTCTGTCCGCCATTCTCTCTCCTTGCAAGTGCACATCTTTGACGTCCCGATTTGGATCTCCGATGCCGCCATCATACATGCACTCACAAAATACGGTACGGTGCAAGGCACCATTCGCCACGGCCGTACCCGCACAAAGTCGGGCGCATTTGTCGGAACAGGCGTACGCTTCGCAACTGTTCGCCTGAACAACGGCTGCAGGCAGGTGCCATCTTTCGTGCGGACAGCCGAAGGCAATACTTTCCGCGTGAAGCATGAGGGCCAGGCGCCAACTTGCCGCCTCTGCAACTCAGAAAATCACCTTGCCGGCTCCTGCCCTAAATCGAACAAGCTACAAAACACACGGACCCGCACTTCAACCAACACGAGGCAGAACCAAAACGAAGACCCAGCACCAGATCCAACACTGGCGACAGCCCTGCCAGGCCAGGCCAGCTTACCGTACGCACAGGCAGCGACCCCGGCCCCTGCCAGCACACTCGTACAGGAAATCACCGAAACAAGCAACACACAGACCCAAAACGACGATCCAGCACCAGATCCGACAGCCTCCACAGGCCAGGTCAGCTTACTGTACGCACAGGTAGCGTCCCCTGTGACCTCTGCCAGCTCACCCGCACAGGAAGTCACGGAACACAGCCAGCCCAGCAAAAGTGCAGACTAGCACGGACACACTGCCAGTGCCTCTGATGAGCACCAAACTCGTACTCGTAGAACTAGTACAGATATCGATCGAGCCGACAAGAGCGCAGTCTGCGCACTATCACCCAGCGCAAGCATGTACTGCCACTCGCCAGGCTCACCTCGCACGGCAGCGGAAGACGACAGCAACGACGAGAGCCTATTTGAGGAAGATGGAAACCGCGCCGAACAACTCCTGCAGAAGCTCAATGCAGCGGAGGAAGAATGGAAACTCTACACCGGACATCGCAGACGCAGACGCCACCAGCTAGAGCAGACGCCCCCAGGCGCACAACATCCACATGCCTCTAAAAAACAAAAACAAAATAAGCTAGCTGACCAGAGTCCTACAGGAGTCACCATGGACCACGCCTGAACTGGAATCATCATCAACACCAGGTCCCACCAGTGAAAAAAAAAAAATTATGAAAAACGGAAATGAACAAAATAGCATCTCTTTCTTCTCCTTCAACGCTCGCAGTCTCTACCCCAAAATGGACGAACTGTCAGCAATAGCATCGTCAACAACGCCACCTTATGATGTCATTGCTGTCTCTGAAACATGGTGTACCCAGCACGACCCAGACTCCCTGTTTGCCCTCAGTGGATACACACTACATCGTGCAGACCGCCCAGACCGCCAAGGTGGAGGAGTGATATTCTCTACGTGAACGACACTATACCTCATGAACTCGTCCCTACAAGAACCCCAGACAGCTTTGACCTATTATCGCTGAAACTGTCAGCCAACGACAGCACCATCAACACAACATGCGTCTACCGACCACCCCGTTGCGACCATCGGCTATTCTGCCAGCACCTTGAGGAACTGATATGAGCCATACCAACAACAACGCAAAAGATTATCCTCAGTGATTTTAATGCAAAGAACGCCGCTTGGTGCCACTCTGACAGGACAGATGCTGTTGGCGAGGATCTAGCAGTGCTGTTCCAAACTTACTCTCTACACCAACATGTCACATCCCCCACTCTTGTGCAGAATGGGCACCCTAAATCCTGCCTAGATCTCGTCGTCACGGATGTAGACAGCGACTTTGTCCTTATCTCTAGTCTCCCGCAGATCGGCAACTCGGACCACCTATCCATCAGGGGTTTAATCAAGCCAGTCGCTGCACCCCCTCGAGCCGTACCACCTCCCACCCATAATACCACCCATTGGAAATGGTCAAACCCAAGCATCAGCAGTCTGAAATCCGAAATTGAACGCACACAACTGCTACCGGAAGGTGACACCCTGAACACTACCAACATAGACAACCTGTGGCACTCATGGAAGGACAAAGTCCTCACTTGCGCCCGCAAGCACTGTGCAGTACCTCACTCCCCGAGGCATACTAGCCACCCCGCAAAGCCATGGCTGAACCCAGAGCTCACTAACGCCATCAGAGAAAAACACCGGCTCTACCGTGCCTACTTGCGCACCCGGACGCCCTGCAACTGGACAGCATACACCACCCAACGCAACAAAGTTACTCACCTTCTCCGAATCGCTAAGTCTACATATGTCAGTAATGGCACTGGGACGAGCCACTCCACACCAAACCTACACAAACTGATGCGCGGCCTCCAGTCCTCACAACGACCTACTCTGCCAGACATGCTCTCCCAGGGCCACACTCTCTCAACCCCCGCTGAAAAAGCAACCGCCCTGAACGCTTTCTTCATCTCGCAGAGCCAACAGTCAGTCACAGGATGCCACGAGGAACTTCCCTCCATTCATTCCCCCACACCCAATACACCTGGCCTCACTACACTTGAAACAACAGCCCAAGAGGTCTCAAAGTTACTGTCTAACCTGGACCCGTCAAAGAGCCCGGGCTGTGATGGCATACCAACCCGCCTACTGAAAGAGGCAGCCAGTTCACTTGCGCCGTCCCTAGCAACCCTTTTTAACATCTCCTTCGAACGTTGCACTATCCCGCAAGAGTGGAGGGACGCAACAGAAGGGCACACAAGAAGGGCAGCAAAACCGAGCCCTCCAACTATCGACCGATATCGCTACTCAGCGTGACGTCGAAAGTACAAGAGAGTATAGTTGCTGACCGCATTTCAAAGCACATCCAACCTCACCTCCCCAACGGCCAATCAGGCTTTCGGCCAAACGATGGCACCACACAGCAGCTATCTCGGTTAATCCATCAGATCACCGAGAAAAGAGACGCCGGGCAAACAGTAATTGCTTGCTTCTTCGACCTCTCTAAGGCGTTTGACCGGGTGTGGCACCAAGGACTGCTTGCAAAATTGGCCCACCTCGGACTCGATGGCAAATGCCTCCAGTGGCTTGCCTCCTATCTCACCAATAGACAACAACGTGTGCAAGTGGAGAGCAGCAAATCAACATGGCTAAACATTCCAGCGGGGGTCCCCCAAGGCTCTGTCTCGGGGCCGCTTTTGTTCACGGCCTACACAGTTGATCTGCCAACCGCCTGCATAAATGCCAACACTGAGTGCAGCCAGTTTGCCGACGACACTGCCATCATTGCCGCTCACGAGAATTTTCTAGCCGCAGAAGAGCACCTCCGGTCAGCTGTGACAACCGCGGCACAGTGGCTGAAGGATTGGCATCTCCTGGTCAACGAAAGTAAGACCACTGT